GAATGAAGCCTCATGAATCATTTTCTTTATTTTCTGAGCCCACTAGATGGCGCTTTTTGTTCAACAAAAGGTTTAAAACACACCAGATTTCCATTCTTTTAGCCTCTCTCTTTAAACCAAGAGCACCATCTAGTGGGCTCAGAAAATAAAGAAAATGCTTCATGAGGCTTCATTCCGCCATCACTATAATACAGCACTAGTGGCATCATTGCGACATCTGGTGGATGAGCATCCCAATTGCCAGAATAAATGTTGGCATTGTTCGTTTCTGCAAACTATGTACAAATATGTATATGTACAAATTTGTATGTTGTTATGTAGCTGACATGTTGACACTTTACATTTCAAAAACTCTGTGGCTAAAGCGTGGTTATGTTTAGGCACAAAAAAACCCTAGGTTTTGGTTAGGAAAACACCATGTTTTGGCTTAAAATACACTGTTTGGTGCCACAATCGCTGGAAACATATTGATGGTTCACTAAAAAAACATTCGCCTTTGATGTCACAACCCTCATTGGAAATGCAGTGCTGTCTTGCCAAGAAGCGCTCACCTTTGGGGGCACAATCCCAGTTGGAAATGCAGCAATGTCTTGAAAAAAAAATACACCTGCTTCTGGGGGCACAACCCCTACTGGGAACATAGTGATGGTTCGCTTGAAAACACCTGCTTTTGATGGCACAACCCCTGCTGGAAATGCAGTGATGGTTGGCTTGAAAACACCAACTTTTGATGCCACAATCCCTGCTGGAAATGCAGTGATGGTTGGCTTGAAAACACCTGCTTTTGATGCCACAATCCCTGCTGGAAACACAGTGATGGTCCACTAGAAATCACCCGCTTTTGATGGCACAATACCTGCTGGAAACACAGTGCTGTCTCACTAAAAGATGCTTGCTTTTAGTGGCATAAATCCCACTGGAAATGCAGCAATGTCTCACAAAAAATTGCCGGTTATGGTGGCATAATCACCGCCGGAAATACGGTAATAGTCCACTTAAAATCAACGGCTTTTGGTTGCGTAATCCCAGATGGAAATGCAGTAATGGTCCAGTAAAAAAAACCCTGCTTTGGTGGCACAATCACCTCTGAAAAAACAGTGCTGTCTCACTAAAAAATACCAACACCTCTACCTCCCAATGACAAAGTCAACGTATATATGTAGTCAGAACTATGTCACTTTAGAAATGTTGATATGATATGTGTGAAAAGTTAAAATGCTGTGTCTGTGGTTTGCAGAAACATACAATGCCTATGTTTTCTTCTGCAAACTGGGCTGAGATGAGGCATTGCATTGACAAACAGCTACCAACAGTACAGTTTCAAAGTACTTGATACATTTTTTTAGCCAGCCCTCAAGTTTAGTGATCTTTTGTATAAGGCTGACGTTGATCAGCTCTATTTCCAGTGACAAATCTTTCCATCAGTTGTTCTCACAGTCTATTTCTGAAAAAAAAATTTTGACAGGGTTTTTTTTTATTGTGGTGAGTTCTGTGTTTACAGCTTATTTAAAAACATGTTTTGACAGGTTTAAATATTAATTTAATATTAATTTAATATAATATGTAAAACATAGAAAATCCGATTTAATCTTGCCGAACCTCTCCCCTGCACTGAGAAACTCTGCACTTCCACTGGTTCCTGTTGTGATACTGGACTGCTCAACAGTTGTGTTTGTGAGGCAGCTGTGTTTGTGACACAGCAAATGTGAAATCATTTAAATAGCTGGATGATTTCAATCTTCAGAGTGATTCTAATGGACCTGCTCTCATTTAGACAGGTGGCTTAAATTATGGCTTGCAAAAAGTTAGATTCATTCCAGCACACCGAAATTAATTTCCCCAAAGACATGGGAGTTTTTACACATTCATGCAGTGATAAACTAATTAGGTGGTAAAATCATCACAACCAGTGATTTGATCGCATTCAGGTGCTGTTCACGTTGTATGATTGAGGTTGGACGACTCAGGAAAAAGTTGGATTTCAGTTAAATTCCACTTAAATCAGCTGTGTTGATCACTCATTTATTGTCGTCATTGTATTGAGATACCCTGAGGGGATGAATAAAGTATCTATCTATCTATCTATCTATCTATCTATCTATCTATCTATCTAGTGTCTTGTGAATGGTCAAAGAGATTAGTTTACAATTCTTCAGTGCTCAGATAGTCAAAGCCTAAGATGGCAATGTTATATTTTCAACTCTATTAGCCTGTCAGTGTGTAACTAAAAGCTCAACTCTAAACTCATCAATTCAATATTCATAATTCTCCCCATGATGTATATGTTAGTTTGTCATGTTTTGGTCCAATTGACAGAAATCCAACTGACTGAGCAGGCACATAATCACCTTTAGGTCCTTCCCACCGACAATGAATATTTATAGAAAGGAGTCCAGCGGGGACACACACAGAGATATACAGAATAGAGAGAGATCCACAACACTGGAGCTGCTTATTCAGAGCTGGCCTATTAAATAGGTTCACAAACAGGTTTGGCCTCTGCTTGCGCTTCTGCAAAAACCTTGGCATCTCTCTTCATCCCACATGTATTTTGAAACAATATGGACTTTTCACCTTGGCCTTTCTTTTTCCTACTATTGCCTTTAAAGTTCCATGAATCATTTTGTGTAAACAATGGATCAAGTGACTGTGAAATGTGAAATGATCACCCAGCCCTACAGTCCCCCTGAGCTTTTCAGCTGTAAAACTTTTAACCTCTTTTGCTCATTGTTTTGCCTTTCTCTCTCGTCAGCATCATGTCCAGCTGCAGCACTTTTAAGGAACAAAAGCTCTGATGATAAACCAGCTGTACAATACTCTCAGGACCAAACGGCAGAGAGCCAAAGGCTGCAATGAGCTGTAAATCCAACATGCAATTATTAGCAAATATTCATGTGGGGGCCAGAAGCATAACTGACCTATGGCTAATGTAACCCAGGTTACCAGGCCTTATTACAGTCCAGTCCACCAGTTAATTAATTGGACCAGTAAATTAATAAATTCATATTTTTTTTTTTCATGTGACAGATAAATGACAATCTTGCATAAAATGAATAAATAGAATTTATGGTTAAAAATCGTAAATATGTTAATAAATAGATTAAAAAGATCAACACACACAAGTTCATTTATCTGTTTTAAAAGGAGTATTTTATTTCATTTCAAGTGTGGCGAAAGTGCCTTTCTCAAAGTGTAAAAGATTCAGGTGACATGAGGAGTTCACGTGATAGTGTAACCAATCAGACGCCACCAGGGCGTACATGCCTAGGTGCTTCCGTTTTTCTCTCTCTCTGCCGGATCGTCTCCGAGGCAGCGGTGTGCTAGCCTCCTGCTGCAGACTATGCTGATTTTTGTCTGAGAGAGCCAGATATTCCAAGTCTAAGTCACTTTTATCGTCAGAGCAGAGAGCGGAGCCTTTCCATTTTTGCCATGGGTGGATGAGCGGACCGTGTGTTTTGCAACAGAAGCGGAGGAGAACGTGAGTTGTGTTGATTAGCATTCGGCGCTAACTCGGCGCTAGCTCCAGCGCTAGCTCCGGTCATTAGCCACATCCATTGCTAAATTGTAAAGGTTACACGTTACTGAACTCCCGTGTCCCTGTCTCTTAAAAAGCGGAATCCTGGACTGATGAGAGCCGTGTATTGTGCCCTGTGCCCGGAGTGTGTGTGTGTGTGTGTGTGTATGTGAACCGTGAGCCTCTGGTGAGTAACTTTTACTGAAGTTGGTCTGATAAATGGAGTGAAATGTGCTGCTTCTACTAATGTTAATATGGATCAATGAGGCATTATTTTCATGAATGTGGTGGTTAAAAAAAAAAGTTTTATATTACGGTGTTTTGTTTACATTTACCCTCGCTCTGTGTGTGTTTTTTTTTTTTAGAGTGAGTGGCGGTAGGAAAAAAAAAAGGGAAAGAAATGTTCAGCCATTTTGCCTCATGTTAATACTGAGAAATGTATTCAGTTCATTGAATTAACAGTAAAAATTGGTTAAAATAATTATTGAGAAGATGTGTTACAAAGTATATGCATAAAAATGTGTGTTTATATGTATTTATTTAAATTTAAAAGTATATTTTATTTATGTGAACAATACAGTAACCCTGTTTTTGGCCTTTATAGGCCGGGTCTTTTTCTTTTCCTTTCCCTTGTATGGATTCCTGTGTTGATCTGCGAGACATCTTCTTCTACTGGGGATTCTTCCTGTGTCTGTAAAGGTAGAACGGGACCTCAGTGGTCGTGGCGAGCCAACCCAAAAGACAGAGACTGGGATTTATTCAGAGACTGATTTATTTAAAAAAAAAAAAGACTGATTTATTGAGAACTGTGGTTGATGTCTCATGTCTGAAGAGCTGAAAAGTTAAAATTGTTTTTTTTTATTTTTCTACAACTTCATTTTCATTCAATACAACACACTTAAAAAAAAAACAACTTACCTTTGATGTGTGTGAGGTTCTTTACTCAGTCACTCAATGCATTTTGCTAAAGCACCCTTTCTCCTGTAGCGACCTAAACTTCTGACTACTGGTCCACAAGGTAATTGATGCACTGATGAAATAAATATCTGTATCTCCCAGTCTTTTACCATTAGCAGTTAGAGCTGAGGCAGGTTACACTAAGCCACGCCCCCCTCCACTCACTCGGACAAACTATCAACATTCAGTGACCGGCTCTATGGCAGGTGTCACAGTACACGGCATTTCGCAGGAGGCAATTGATGATTTTTGGAGACATAACGATCGGATGTCACTGAGAAGTAACAAAAAGGGTCTAAACTATGCATTGGAGGGATATATTCATCATTTTATTGTTGAGAATCTCGATGAAAAGCTTAACAGCCTTTTTACCATCTTTACCAAGAGTGTCTCTCCATTAGTTTGGTGCTGCAGTATTTACATTGAATCATTCAGCATAACCTAACTGTGATTACCGATAAGTTCATGAAGCTAAGCCCCAGAAGGTAACGCTGGCTTATACCATGGTCTGGGTGAATATTCTTTTCTGATTGGCTGCAGGGTGTCCGTAAAAAGGTGTTATAGGACAGCTAAAAAGACGTTCCGGTCAAATTGCCTGATGACAGGTTCTAAATTATTGCGCTGGCTCAACTGCTAGTTTGTAACCATAGCAACGGAGACTCAGAGCAGAGGCAACAGATTACAACGGGCATCATGACTGATTTTATCATTTCATTTAATTTATTTGGTGAATTTGATGAATTTGATGACTGGAATGCAGAAGAAGAGAGGTTAGAGAATGAAAAGAAAAGGGAGAAACAGCACAAGGAGGTGACACTGGAAGAATTAAATAATTTAGAAGATGAGACACCTGGAAACTCGTCAGATCATGACCGTCACGGGACATCGGTGTGAGAGCAGCCTGCAGGCTTATTGGGCTCCGTCAGCGCAGGAGAGATGAGACTGGAGCAACATCTTGTCGTCTCCAAATGTCCCAACAAGCAGTGCTCAATCTGTCAGTCTCCGTCCTTCAAATGCCACTATGATGGACATACTCATATCACTTTCAAATGTCACTATTAATGGTAGTGTAGCATTTAATTTTAAATAGGAAACAATCGTTAATTTGTTAATCTGTTTATATGATTTAATCTCGACTACTATATGTTTATGAATTATTTATTGCAGTTAAAAACGATTTTGACTAGCCTACTATTTGGATGTTGATTATTTGAAACAAATTTTCTTGGGCCTAGCCTATAGGCTAAATGAACACCAATGAATCATGAAAGTAATATCTCAAGTTTGTTTTGCACATCATCCTCTGACCAGAGTCTGTAACACAAAAGCGGTAAGAAGTGCACTGGCTTTCTGAAATAATCGTCTTCTGAATAATATCATGTAACGTTTAGCCATCATCTCACTTCCCTTCACTGATCAGAGTCGCTATGCTCTCTACATTGCAGCCACAGCGGGTTTCCATGGCAACACCTGTGAACTACAGAGATGAAATAGTCCGCTGAGCTGTGGCTTGTGAAAAATTAATATTTCTTTGGTAAGTGACCATGGTATAAGCGGGTTAATGCCCTTCAAGGTGTCCATTATCAGGAATTAATGGACTTTGCGGAAGCAACCGTCCATTAATTCCTGATAATGGACACCTTGAAGGGCATTAACCCTTACTTAACTAGAGCCCTTTGGACAACAGCTAACAATGATGTACGATCACCAAAGTACAAAACTAGAACAAAATAGGCTAATGAACTCCTAGCAAACAAGGTGCCATGATGAACAACGCAGCTAGGAGCTAATGTTAGGCTAACTTTAGCTAAAATTAGCTAGAGATGTTAAAGATAACTTTATATTTCTTTCCAGCAAAGTGACAATATGTTGCCTCAAACAAATGTTGACTTACCTTAAAACAGATGTAGACATCCTTGTTAATCTTATTCACGTTGAGTTGATGTTGTGGTCTAACGTTAGCACACAACTTTATCCAAAGGAGACACTTTTGTCGGTTGAGATGTGGTTTAAAGTGTAAAAAATACACCTCGTCGCCCAGCCTCTCAGGATACCTTGTGTCGGAGTTGCATGTACCCCATGCACACTGTTTGACAATTTTTAAACTTCAAATCTCAGAAAAAGCTCATAAAACTGAACAAAACTGACTTTCTGTAATGCAGTTCAATGAACGTCCGGGCAGAGAATGTCTGAGTGTATGGGAATGGCTATACGCACTGTGATTGGCTCATTGCGTTTGAGGGCAGGACTTAGCCATAGGTCAATTTATAAATAAATGCCAGTGTTGTTCAATGTCTGATGGATGTGTTAGCTTTTACATTTGACATAATAAATGTATAAACTGCTAATATAATTTTTTTGTCCCACTGCCCCCAAGTGGCCAAAAAAATATCAATTAATGTAGCTTTATACATGATATACTTCTAATTGAATTTTGCTCAAAAAGTTTCCAGTCAATTTGCTAATATGTTTATTAGACATTGACAAAGATCTTAAATGTGAAAATGCAGCAGCTTCTAACTGTAGATGTGTCATTTGAATGAATGAATAAATGAATCTCGTTCTCTTGAAGTGTCATACACCTAAAGGTTTCCAACCCATATGGGCTTACAAGACATTACCTGTAGAGACAAAAGCCCCTTTTACACTGCCAGATTTTCCGCGAACGTTTTGCTGCCAAGCTGTGAGTGTTTAGACGCACAGAGCTGGATTGGAGTTGATCCAAGGTGCCCAATTTTCTGCCTCGTAGGGTAGTCATATTGGCGGAACCCTTTTAGTTTAAACAGACCGAAGCGGCCCTCTGCAACGGGAGGGGCTGTTGAAGACCTGTGGGAGGAGCTGTTGATGATGCTGCACGTGCGATCCACTGGTGGTGGATAAACAGGAAACAGCTGATAGCAGGAATTAGCAAGCAGCTAGTAGCAAGAAGACACGCAAACCTGAAAGACACTGTAAAGATAAGCAGTGTGGGGAGACAAGGAAATGTGCACCCTCCTTGCCCTCGCAAACGAAGAGGCCATTAACCGTCAAATGACGGGGACGGTGAAGGATGGGTCAACTTATGAGAGAAAGCACAGAGCTCCTGAAGGACTGATTAGCCGTGGCTTCCCTCCCACGTCACTGTTTACGTCACACGCTGAGCCACATGTTTTATTACTTGCTCACCATTGCCCCAAAAAAGGCGCATTCTGTATAATATAGTAGGTAGGCGGCATTTTGCCGCACTCTCCGATTTTGTTTTTATACTGCCAATGCTGAAAGAAGACTGACTGGGCTTTCCTGCAAATTTGCACAATTCCTATCTAAAAAGGGCTAAAGACATACAAAAATAAAAGAAAGCAATACGTGGTACTTTATACATACTCATTATCAGATATTAACTCAGATTAGGGAAACAGTGTTCTCTTACACTGACAGTAGGCGTATAAAAAAAAACTGAGTTATGTCAACTGTCTTGTATGAATGAATGTAATGAGAGTGAAAACCATTTATGGAGTTTTATTGTCTTGCAAAAAGAAAAAACAAAACAAAACAAAAAAACAGAACTGAGAAACTTTTCTATAGTACTCATGTGAAAGGGGATTCAAGACTGAAGCTCCCAGAACCTTCAGTCTGACATCGCCTCCATTGAAGGCGATTTACAAGGGGGAGGGAATTTGATTTTATTGATTTTTTTGATAGCATTGTTAATGTGGTCTGTAGGATCTGTAGCGGTCGCCATTGTTGCTATCCTCACCAGTTACCCACCGGCGCACAGCTTGACATTAGCGTGGTGCTGATTGGCTAATCGCTAGACCCACCCCCACCCCCAGCGTTCATTGGTCCTTCCATCTTTTGGACGAGATAAATTGCAAATTCATTGCAGTATGCCAGACCAGAGATGCAAGCCTACTCAGTTGAATGGGCGGGGTCTATGGTCTGGAACCAGGCTAGATGAGGGACAGATTAAAGACTTATGTAAATGAGAACAGACACATAACGACTGCAGATGCTTCCATACATATGTGCTGACTTATACTATTAAGCAATTACCATCCTGCTCTGTGGAATGTATAAAAATGCTGAGCAGGCTCAGTTGACCTCGATTGAGAGATCACTTTGATGAAACATTGCTATCCTGATGGGAGTGGTCTCTGGGAGGATGAAAATGCCTCCATTTATAGGGCATGAATAGGGCATCACTGAATAGCTGATGAGTATGAAAATNTTGTCGTCTCCAAATGTCCCAACAAGCAGTGCTCAATCTGTCAGTCTCCGTCCTTCAAATGCCACTATGATGGACATACTCATATCACTTTCAAATGTCACTATTAATGGTAGTGTAGCATTTAATTTTAAATAGGAAACAATCGTTAATTTGTTAATCTGTTTATATGATTTAATCTCGACTACTATATGTTTATGAATTATTTATTGCAGTTAAAAACGATTTTGACTAGCCTACTATTTGGATGTTGATTATTTGAAACAAATTTTCTTGGGCCTAGCCTATAGGCTAAATGAACACCAATGAATCATGAAAGTAATATCTCAAGTTTGTTTTGCACATCATCCTCTGACCAGAGTCTGTAACACAAAAGCGGTAAGAAGTGCACTGGCTTTCTGAAATAATCGTCTTCTGAATAATATCATGTAACGTTTAGCCATCATCTCACTTCCCTTCACTGATCAGAGTCGCTATGCTCTCTACATTGCAGCCACAGCGGGTTTCCATGGCAACACCTGTGAACTACAGAGATGAAATAGTCCGCTGAGCTGTGGCTTGTGAAAAATTAATATTTCTTAGGTAAGTGACCATGGTATAAGCGGGTTAATGCCCTTCAAGGTGTCCATTATCAGGAATTAATGGACTTTGCGGAAGCAACCGTCCATTAATTCCTGATAATGGACACCTTGAAGGGCATTAACCCTTACTTAACTAGAGCCCTTTGGACAACAGCTAACAATGATGTACGATCACCAAAGTACAAAACTAGAACAAAATAGGCTAATGAACTCCTAGCAAACAAGGTGCCATGATGAACAACGCAGCTAGGAGCTAATGTTAGGCTAACTTTAGCTAAAATTAGCTAGAGATGTTAAAGATAACTTTATATTTCTT